TAGAGTCTGTAGTGACACATGCTAGCCTGCTGTCAGTAGTGCCACTTTGACACTACAGTATATTATGTTTATTTTAGATACAACAAATAGGGGTCCAAACTACACTAATAAAGATGTAAGAGACTTGTTTAACAAGAAGTACAGTGAGTATTTTAATTTGAAATGTATGCTAAATTTGTTTTTATGAATTTTGCTATAAAAGCTAAGTGTGCAGGGTAAACTAGTAGTATCACATGGCATATTAACCCCATCGCTGCCCAGGCGGGCTGCAACTAGCCCTTTCGTAGATTTTACTCTGTCTAATGCCAGATGATTTTATTCATCAAGGGAAAGCTCCTAGTAGCAACGGGTTAATTGCTAAATAAATATCCAGTGACTGGGATTTTAGTATCCTACATTAAAAGTAATTAATAATTGAATCATCTATAATAAGTTTTCTTTAAATGTTATAATAGGTGAAGCATGTGGGAAACCTGGTTCTCGTGTGCCATACCTGAAAAAAGGTTTCACAGTAACTGGTCTTCCTAATGGAATAGAGTTTAGAAAGCCAAATAACTATGGGGAAGAGAAAGTTAAAGCAATAATGAATGCTCAAGAAGGCATAGTTTTTCAACTTGAACCAGAGCCTAGCATCACACATTCTGATGCTGCAGTAACTGAAGAAATCGACCCCCAACAAGCTGAACTTCAACATATTTTATGTAAGGTGGTTGACCAAGAAAAAGCTTTACAAGTGGTGACTGACCAAATTTGCATCGAGGAGAGTGATATGGAAGTCACAGATCTTGCACTCACTGACATGGAGTATAATCTGTTAACAACAAATTACAGAAATTGCTTCACAGAAGATGCATTGACTGCTTTGGCAGCCAATTATAAATCATTTTCTAATCATAAGGGATACATCCTGCCTGTCTATACTGACACAGAAGATGCTTATTGGCTGTTTTATTTTCCTGACAAGATGTCTGATCTTCTAAACCAGCATTCTCAACAACAAATTTGGGGATATTGGTTAAATGCAACTGAAGACAAGTTGACATTCAAGCTTATTATGTCAAAAAACAAAGTATCTATTGACACTTTGAATATTATTACAAAGGAGAATAATTCAAGTAGTTTCCTATTTTTACAAAAAACATTGTTGCTTAAGACTAAGACAACAGTAAATCTTCCTGAGCCATTCCATGACCAAATTTATGCTATTTTAAACGAGTATGGCTTCATATAGTTATATTTATGATTCCATAAATGTAAATAAGTGTATCCTGTAGTATGGTCACCAGAGTTTGCTATAATACCTGTCACATTTCTTATCTGGTCAAATAATATTATATCCGTAAGTATAATTACTTATTTCTACATTTTGTAATTTTATGTTTCTATTTTAGCATTGGTATTTCTTCTTGGTATTTCATACAGTACAGTTGTTTTTTGTTTATTGGTTTGACTAACTACAACAAAAACAAACAAAATGAAATGAAATATTGTAGAAAAACTGATGACATGGTCGTGATGGTCAACAACTTGTGGCCAATTGGATATTGTAGGTTATCAAAATTAAATGTATTAGTGTTTGCCAACAACACCTGTTAATATTGGACCATAGTTGCACAGAATACTAATGCACCTATCAATGTTTAGCCCCATGGGGGGGGCATACCCAGGGGAATTGAACACTGAAGATGCCACGAGAGTGGGGACTTTGACCGTATGGAGGGGTTGCTATATGCTGCTTATCAAATTTTCGGAAAGCAAAAAGGTGCTTGAAAGGTGCCTAACTCTGCAGACTGGCCCTGGGGTGGGAAATTGACACTTTGTAGCAAAAAAAGTCAAGATCCCCTGGCCCAAGGTAAGACACCCCACCCTGGGGCTAAATTGATAGGTGCATAACCTGGTTGGGTCAATGACCTAAGTCCTAACTGAAGCTATCACGTACATCATTCATTTCAACAAATGTTTTAATTTATATTGTAGCTTACCTTGCGTCTCCGATGACGGCAACATATTAGTTTCAGACGAGTTCTCACTCTCGCCAGACATCACCCTACGAATTCCTTGATAATAATAAACATGGTTACTGTGTGCCCTTTTCACGTTTGGGAAACACTGTCGAATCCACATTCTCTCTGAGAAATTGTATTAAATATTACGTAATTCAGCCTTAGGGCTGCGATGTAATTTTCCTTTAATAATAATAATAATAATAATATTAATAATAATAATAATAATAATAATAATAATAATAATAATAATAATAATAATAATATTATTATTATTATTATTATTATTATTATTATTATTATTAATATGAATTCATATAATAATAATAATAATAATAATAATAATAATAATAATAATAATAATAATAATAATAATGAAAACTTTATTGATTTTTTTCTCTTATACGTACAATTGAAAATCTCTCTTTTAAAGGTAATTTACAATTGGCTACTTGATATATGGAGATAAGATAATGGTTACAATACACAATTACATTACAGAATACTATATATATAGTTCTTTTGTATGTTAAATACAAAATTAGAATTTCATCAAATCTGGTTTGGACCATTCTTTGTTTCTACAGCAGAAAATATAGTATGTCGATCTAATAGCAATATTAATAATTTTTCGAATAATATATTTTACATGACTTTGATTTGGGTACATTAATTCTAATAATAATAATAATAATAATAATAATAATAATAATAATAATGATAATGATAATGATAATATGAATTCATATAATAATAATGATAATAATAATAATAATAATAATAATAATAATAATAATAATAATAATAATAATGATAATAATAATGATAATAATAATAATAATAATAATAATAATAATAATAATAATAATAATAATAATAATGATAATGATAATGATAATGATAATAATAATAATAATAATAATAATAATAATAATAATATTGCCGTTACTGCCGTTTTTGGTGTTATTAGCGTTATTGCCGTTATTAGCGTTATTGCCGTTAATATACCGTTATTGCCGTTATTGGTGTTATTGGCGTTATTGGTGTTATTAACGTTATTGGTGTTATTGGTGTTATTGGTGTTATTGGCGTTATTGGTGTTATTGGCGTTATTAATGTTATTGGTGCTATTGGTGTTATTGGTGTTATTGGTGTTATTGGCGCTATTGGTGTTAATGGTGTTATTGGTGTTATTGGCGTTATTGGTGCTATTGGTGTTATTGGTGTTAATGGTGTTATTGGTGTTATTGGCGTTATTGGTGTTATTGGTGTTATTAGTGTTAATGGTTTAATGGTGTTATTGGTGCTATTGGTGCTATTGGTGCTATTGGTGCTATTGGTGCTATTGGTGTTATTGGCGTTATTGGCGTTATTGGTGTTATTTGCGTATATATTGGTGTTATAACGGCAATAACGCTAATAACGGCAATAACGCTAATAACAGCAATAACGCTAATAACGGCAATAACGGTAATAACGACAATAACGACAATAACGGCAATAACGGTAATAACGGCAATAACACCAATAACGGCAATAACGGTAATAACGCTAATAACGGCAATAACGCTAATAACGGCAATAACGGTAATAACGCTAATAACGGCGATAACGCTAATAACGGCAATAACGCTAATAACGGTAATCACATCAATAACGGTAATAACACCAATAATGCCAATAACAGTAATAACACCAATAACGGCAATAATGCTGATAACGGCAATAACGCTAATAACGGCAATAACGCTAATAACGGCAATAACGACAATAACGGCAATAACGCTAATAACGGCAATAACACCAATAACGGCAATAACGGTAATAACGGCAATAACACCAATAACGGCAATAACGGTAATAACGCCAATAACACCAATAACAGAATAACGCCAATAACGGTAATAACACCAATAACGCCAATAACAGTAATAACACCAATAACGGCAATAACGCTAATAACGGCAATAACGCTAATAACGGCAATAACGCTAATAACGGCAATAACGCTAATAACGGCAATAACGCTAATAACGGCAATAACGGTAATAACGGCAATAACACCAATAACACCAGTAAAGGCAATTACGCTAATAACGCCAGTAACGGTGATAACGCCAATAACACTAATAATGCGTAAAACAAAGCCAATTATAGACGCCTTTTACGTACGACACTGACGTCAGGAAGGTAAATTCAATACAAAACACATCAGCATTATTCTCATTTAATCACGTCATTTCGGTACTCTTATATGGAAATCAATTATGGAAATCGAGCCCATTTTCTTTTGCGGCCTGTTGCTGCTAAGTTTTGCGGCAATGCCGGGATCTTATCACCAGGGGCCTGGATGAAAGTTAGTGACGCATTATTAAAGGGTGCTTTGTGATGTTTTTAGGGTGCTGTATAATCTAACGGTATGTATAGCGCATATTTTGGAGCCTGTAATTGTCTAATTTTGTCTACTTTCCTGCTAGGTTTGCACGCGCTGCAAACCATGATAGCAAAATGTTGTTTGCGTTTGCTATAGGTTTGCGATACTGTATTCGCGGCCATTGCCACTTTTTCAACAGGGTTTGCAATAGTTGCAAATATGTTTTTTCGTCATGTGTAATATTCTTAATTGCATGCATATTACTATAAGAATCGGGCCTGCCGTTATCACAATACGGATAGTATTGATTGATGCCATTATTAAGGTGGGGAACTAGAGGAGATTCCTCTACATATTTTCTCTTTTTGGGACACCTCATTTCTCAATAACATATATTATTTAACCCACCCATCCTCACGCCCGACCATTTTCAATTACATAAAAACATGAACTGAAGATCAAAAGAGAGACAAGGTTCTTTAATTATTATATGCAAACATGTTACAAAGTGTGTAACATTTTTTATTGTGTGTAGCATGTTACAAAGTATCTATAAAATTGTTTTAGCCCCCGGTTTTAATGACAATACCCCCCTTGATTGCCTTAAATATTTGGTTCCCCGCACCGCCACGCGATCTCGATGCTCCAGCTCCACCCGGCATGACTGGTCCCTAATCATGCAGTGGCTTCCTGACATTCTGCTCTACTATAGGTACAGTACCTGCTTTCCACACACAGCACCCTATATACACTTCGGTCTCTCTTACTTCCTTACATCATACGCCGCTTTTTTGTTCGTCATTAGGAAAACTACAGAAGTTGTGCACTAATAGCATTAACGAATTCGTGTCACCTTCATCTATTCAAAGCATGCCTTCACACTAACTTTCTAGACTGCAATATAGAATATAGAATAATAGAATATTATATAATATTATAGAATACTATAAAATGTAAAATGAGCACTATAATAGCTATCTTCAGCTTAATGACTGAATGTCGTTCCAAAGTAGATTTTCCAGGGTATCTGCAAGGCACCAACAGGGGGGATTGGCCCCACCAATTGTTACGGTACTATGGATGGGATTATGCAAAACTGCTGTAAAACAATATACAGATAGTGGGTGACTTGCAAAAATACTATCTATTACAATCAGAACAACACCGTATTAGGATTTAACTTTTATATACAGCAAATGAAATAATTTAAATATATGATTTCAATCTTTTATAAAGGAATAATATAAAATCTTTTATAAAGAATAATATAAAATGAAGCATAAAAATGACGTTGCCATTGTATTTAACCTCGTTTTCATGCTTTCTTTATATTATTCCCAGCTCATATCTTCGTCGTTCCAAATTGATTCCGAATCAGAGTCGGAACTATCGTACATTGAATAAACGTCGTCTTCGTCGTCGTTGTCTGCAGAATAGTATTCTGAAACGTCCAGTGTTCCTTCTTCACGAGCAATTTCATGTTCTAATAAAGTACTTTGGCATTTCCATTGCATACTAGGAATGGAACATTTCATCTCCTCGCGAATGTTATCTTTGAAAAGTTTACCCAACATGTGAAGTTTATTATCACATTCAAGGATTCGTGATTGAAAAATACAGTTGAGCCCTTTGGCATAAACCGAAGTTGCTTCTTCCTGCACTTCATTGCAACATGACTGGTAGGACATTTTCATTTTGAGGAAGTACTCTACCAACCGCACCATTTCTAGGTCGAGATACTCGATCTCTTCTTTGCATCGTTCAACGAAATTGTGTAAATCTATTGCACTTCTTTTAAATTCTAAGGGTATGTTGTCGTCTGATGGAGTTGTAACTCTTAAGTGGTGATAGCTAGGAGATTCTGGATCTTTCACATCATCGAAGTTTATCGGTTCTGGCATTCCATCTATTGGATCCTTCCAATAAGCCAATGCAGCGTTGTATTTGGCCACAGTAGCTTTTATTGCATTCGTCTTATTGGTGATCTGTTTAGACAGCTTAGCAGCAATTGCTTGACCGTCTATATCAACATAAAATCCATGTTCCATTTGGTTAATCAAAAGTTAGTTAAGGCAAAGACAACTGTGATCAACCAAACAAACAACCAATTCACGTATGTACAGACATCACATTTACGAGAAGAGGAAATCGTTATAACTGTAAAACGTGTTTCGTTTTTACCTGCATACTTCTTCTTGAGTGAATCAAGAACATTCTCTCCACTGCTAATGAGTACAGTCGCTCGTTTGTGCAGCTTCTTCTCTCTTCTTCAATGGAAATTGCAGCTTTGTTGAAATTTTCGTCTCCTAGTTTCCATCTTTGTAGCACTTTGTAACTTTTCTCCGTTGTGGCTACAACTTTCAATGTGCTAAATTACGAAAAAAAAATAAGACGAGATGGAATCGTCATCTCTCGTTACTTATATAGGAAGCTGTTTCCGACTTCCTTCCCAATCAAGTTAATTTATATTATAACAAATGACAGTTATGTATTTTAATGGTCTGTAATGTGGTTAAATATTGTTTGCAAAATAAAAGGAGAAGCAATGCAGGACTTCTATACGAAAAAGACATACTTTTTTATTTTCTTTACAATACTAGCAATGGCTTCGTGATTATCGTGATCGGAAGAGGCAACGGTTGATCTGTAAAATATTGATAGAAGGGAAAAATGCACATTGGAATATTATGTGTACCTGGGGAATGATAAATTTGTAGCTTGAAAAATTTACAACGTAAGGAATTACGTTCATACCTTAGTTCTTGTAGCTGACACAAACTTTGTACATATTTTGCTTGCCAGGATAAGGAAGATGATTTCGTCACTAACATTAAAAAATATTACAAATCAAGTATAAACATTAATTGTTCCAGTTTCAAGAAACTGCAGACTAGAATTCTAGAAAGTATTAATACAAGTGCATAAGCTCACTTTCTCGTTCTTTTAATAACGATTCTTCCTGCTTCTTCCAAGACTCGACAAGATCAGCATCGTAGGACACTAAAAATGAAGTGTTTAAGTATTGTACAATTAAATATCTACAATCTACATATTATCATTTTCAACTTTTAAACTAATTAATCATTCTCAGATGCCACAGCAATCACCTGTCAATTTTGAGAACATTTCTTCCAACTGTAACATGGCATTTACCATAAGTTTTTTAGTTTTTTCCATTTTCTTGGGCAATGATGTTCCTTTTTCAAAAAAGCATTTACTTAGATTTCTACTGCATTTGATAAAACACAATAGAATGGCTAGATGTTCTAAGTTACCAAATTGTTGAATGCGGTGTTCTGCATAATGTACCAGGGCATCTGTCAGCAAATCCACACGACGGCCTGCAGACATCTCTTTTGTCATGGATGAAAACCCTCTTAAGTAAGACCATAACCTTTCAATCCCTTCTCCATCAGTAAGACCATAACCTTTCTTACGTCTGGGGCCATAAGAAAACTACAGCAATAAATATTAAGTAAGCAAACATTTATGAACTTTAGACATATTAGCTAGTAACAGTACATTACTTTACCTGACATGACGATTTGTGACCATAGCAATGAAACACTGGGATAGCAAGATCTATTCTTTCAAGTATATCAACACGATGGTTTTTCTATGTAAGAATACATAATTATAACTTGGTCATCCATTCATACAGCATTACAATTGCAGGAAATGAAATTTTTACCTTCAAGTGTGATGACAATGTGCATCCAATGTCATACATAACTCGTACATCAATAGTGTCACCAGAATTACACAACATACGTTCTACTTCATAGACCGAATAGGATATCCTAAACAGAAACAAAATATGCAAAAAAGAATAAGGAATAACAGAACTAACTATAAAGATGTCTATCGAAATGATACAGCTAGCATAATGACCTTTCTCCATGTTTAATACTGATAAATCCTTTCGGATATTCATGTCTACACACACGACCAAAAACACCTTTCTCGTCAAAAAGTTTGTTCTTTCCCTTAGATCTTAACATAGTGTCAATTTCTCCAGATTTGAACTGATTGCAATCCTTGGTAAAAAAAAACGAATTGTTATAACTTATTATGTGTTAACTTATTGCCAGCAATACCAATTGCAACCTGCTTTGTAACACATTTTACTCCAATGCTAGCCAATTTCACTCGTCACATACATGCAGGAAAGCTCCAGGTGCAAATGGGTTGAGAGGCTAGTTGCAGCTGGTGTGAAACAAAAAGATATGAAATGAAAGCACCAGTTCATGACAAGAAAGGCTTTAGCCTACTACTTACTGTTGGTGCTTCTTCAGCTTTTTTCCCATAATCATCAACAAACTTGTCCACACTTTCTTGCTCTGCAAAGAAGGTTCCACTATGTCGTGGGGGGAAAAGATTTACACCAGCAGATTTTTTCCACACCAAGCCAAAACAGCCATCCATGGACTCAATAAGAATTCCACCATCATCAGTCTATAACAAGTACATAGCGAAAGTCAAGATAAGTTAGTGAAGGAGTGCAGTAGGTTTCACATGTTTTGGGTTGTTAGCCAAAGATTATGTCAATGTCACCAAGGCCTGCTCCAACCAGTCTCATTATATATTTTACTCTGTATAACACCAGACCAGTGACATAGACAGACCAACAACCTTGTCGTGTTAGCAAATATTTACTTGTTTTCAAATTGCGAAAACAATGAATTTCTAAAGAAATGAATAAATATACTGATGATTTGGAATTTGCATACAGTGTAGCATGTACTACACCACTGCACCAAATAATTTTACTCTAATTAACAACAATAAGTATAAAAATAAATAGACACAAGTTATTTTATTTTTGACTAATTCAGATACATTACTTACAACAATATAATAATACACAAAATTATGCTATTTATATGACTAATTGAATATAAGAAACATTTTATACCTGAGGGCATAAAGGGCACATCTTGTAATTAGTTTGCTCCCCATGATGTGACTTAATGGATTTTAAACAGTGATTATGGTACCTAAAGCAGGTAATGTACACAGTATTATGATTATGGAAGGTATCTATCCAAGCAGATAACTGCAATTAACCTGAAAGCCAGCCTAATAGCAAGAAGAGTATATTATAAACCCATTGCTGCCAGGCAGTCAGCAATGGGTTAAGAACACTAAGGGACAGGATAACCAACTCGTGGACAATAATTAACTTGTTGTTACCGTACTATGTTTTTTTCGTGCCACATTGTATTAAAAATAAAATACTTACCTGAATTCATCAAAAGTATCATCATTTAAAACTCTGTAAAGACTTTGAATCTAAAGGATAAAATATGAAAATTTATTGAGTGTGGTTACACTGTAAATAATAAATGTATACACTATCAAAATTATCAAATGATACTGTATTAAATGATAACTGCTTAATACCCATTTAGGATGTAGTGATGATTTGCCAAGGCCCATAGTGTCGCAGAATTTTGACAACGAGACATGACTTTCAAGAAGAAACTTTTCAGCAAGCAGCAAAAACTTAAAATGAAAGGCAACTAAAGGACGGACAGCAGATCCAGGCCATAACTGCAACTTAACCAGTGTTACGGTATCTGGTTCACAACTACAGAAACTGATGGATTTCTTGTGTTGGAAACCTACATAATAATGTAACACAAATGACATTATTAATGGTTTGAAAACAATCAATACATTATAGGTAGTGCAAATTGATTGAAGTGAAGAAAAGCTATCATTACGACAAAAGAGGTGTGCATGTGTGTATGGTGTATGTATGTATTAAAACTAAATCTATTATAAGCTTACCATGTTGATCAACACAAACAATATCCCTTGACTGAGAGGTGGGGCATGTTGTTTGATGCTTTAGTGAAATTTCCTTATGATTGATCATTAAAGGCCTAAAACATCCATCCTAAAGAAAGAACAAAGAAAAAGAAAAAATTAACAAAGCACAAAATAAATAAGCATGTCAGATATTGACATACTTTTACAATATTCAGAAGTCTTTATAGTAACAGATGAACAGGCCAATAAACAATAAGTGTCGAGACCTTATAAAATTGAATGTTTAGCTGAGTCTTTCATAATGTCTCCAAATATCTACAGTATCTCACTAATCTCAGATGGTGGTCAATATATTTATTAAATGATTTCATTATCATTTTATAAATTAAGAACATAATATCAACAAACCTTGTGTATTTCTGGAATGTGAAAGTAGTTTTTTTCGTGGTGCTCTATTTTAATGCAATCCAAGCAAAAGAACTGCCTTGGTCCACAGTCGAGACAACGACATACTGCTTCATTCGGGCATGCGAAACATGTCAGGCTGGAAATGACTTCCTCTTCAACTACAGCTTTGAGCAATTGTTCTCTCACTGCTTCCCATTTGTTAAATTCCTTTACTCTTCGCTGATGATGCTTTGACAATGTTTGTTGTTCAACCTGGCCTTGAGCTTCATTTCCTTCGGACAAAGCATTCTCGAACGTATCCGCAAAATATGTAGATTCTCCAATGGCATTATTGGCTAAATTCAAATTGTTGTCTTCTTCAGGTTCTTCTGAAACACTTGGGGTTGTCTGGACTGTAATAGACCTTACTATCTTCTTTCCACTTGTACATTGAGTTTTAACACGGACTTTGCTTGGTTTAAAGCGCTTCATCCGACGACTTTGCTCTGCCATATCAGTCCGCCATTTTGTGATATTGCTGTAGAGCTGATGCGCTGGCATAAATTAGCATCTAGGGATGCTTAGGTGATCACCTGTGTCACATATATCCGACGTTCTAAAATTTAGAACTCTCGCTATATGTGATTTAGAACACGAGGAACGGGTGACAATAAAACGTATTTAAAGCGAAACGCTCCTGTATTTCTTGAGTTCCATTAACACGAAAGACGACAGGAATAGAACAGAGTCAAGAATTAGACCTGATATTTTTGCATTGCGAATTCATCCTGTTAGGGGATCTCAAATTCGTCCGGTTCCGTGCTCCTCATGTAAACAGAAGGCCGAAAAGGATGAACTTCAGACCGGCCCTTCAACTTAACGATCTTACGGCCCCTGAATGGCATCAGTTATTATTAATTATCTGAGGCAATGAACTTACAAAACTTTATTATTTTAATATCAGAAATATGGACAAACCGTTCCGGCAGCGATTGATGGTGGAAGAAAGAGTGGTAAGGGTAGTTCTTTTCTTCTGTATCAAAACATAAGGGACGGCTCATCAGCAACCGCTGCTTTGCAAAATTCGTGTCTTGCCTGCGCGGCTCCCGCAATAATGATTAAGCAAATTATATTCGAATCGGCTCTGTTTTTCGTCGCCTTTGCCAATTTTAAACACAATTTTTGATCCTGTTGTGTATTATTTTTGAAGTAAAGGTTTTCGTTCGTCACTGAAAATGTTAAAGAGGCGGATTGAAAATTCTGGATATTGCGAATGTTACTAAAAAGAATAAATTAAGCATTAAATGTTCCTACTGGAGTGATACCAAAACTGGATCACTCTTGCCAGAAGAAGTCAAAGCGCTTTGAAACGTAAAGAGGTCATAAAATATATCAGAACAAAGACGATTTGTGTTAAATCCTTTAACATGATTATGCACATGCAGTGCTGTCCATATACATCAATGTGACAAAAACCATATTGACTGGACGCAAATTTTTGACCCCCTTGTATAATGGTGTGATATCCTCCATGCAGTGAGACCCAGGACAATATTGCTCATGTAGTAAATATATATGGGTGTAATAACTTCTGCTGCGTCTTATATCACAGAATAAATTATATAGTCAGGAGGACTCAGGACTATATATTGCTGTAGACGTATATTGTGTAAAAATTTCTAGTGCATGCATGTGTTAACGTGAAAAGGACTCAGGACTATAATTACATTGCATTGTGTTATCGAATGTCAACAGGAATATTTATTTTCATTGCCGAACGAAATGTTCAAAATCATGTGTTTAATACCTTATCTACGTTTGGCATTACATCACAGTTTATAAAGTGTATGAATTTCACGTTTGTTTTTAGCTTCTTATACCGTATAGCTCAGAGCACAGAGCAGTGCACCCGCATCGGACACGGCGAAAATAGAGACGAAACAGTGTTTAACCGACTTGCTTTAAGCCTATTTAAATATGAGAGATTTAAATTGTTAAGATGGCAAGCTGATATTAAATATGTTATTGTTGCTACAGATTTATTGGCTTAAGAAGTTCCATCTTAAAGCCGGTTTTCCACTAGCGATATTTTTCGCGCGAAGCGACATTTACTTTTGTTTCAGAGCTCTCAACTGCAGCCATCTGGAACAAATTGCTCTAAAACAAAGGAATAAAGTCGCTTCGGGCAAAAAATATCGCTAGTGGAAAACCGGCTTAAAACACAATACGAATTCGCGTTTGACTGATGGCGTTGATTGTATTCTGCATTGTGTAAATTCCAAACTTACACGTGTAAAAGAGGCAAATTTTAGGCGGTCCCTTGAAGACAAAACCATTTCATTAAAGTAAAATATCAAACAGTCAGAGTCGCATAATTAACAAGCAAATTTAATTCAGGCGTCAATATAACAATAAAGCGATTATCAGGCGGTCCCTTGCCGACAACCCACTAATATACGAGTGGAAATATCAAACAATCAGTGCTGAATGAGTACAAAATCAAGGTCATTCTCGGGTTTTCAAAAACCTATAGCTTTCACCAAGTTGCTGCAAACTAACGACTGCATGGCCTCGATTTAGTTTGACAACTCCTCCGTGCCCAGCCCTGCTTCCACCGGCAAAAATTTTACTAATTATAAAGCCGAAAAATTCCCCCTTGATTCTTTTTGAATTTTCAGCAATCAAGTGCATGGAAATAATTCTAAATTCACAACTCAAAAGAAATAAGCGAAATATTTCAAGTTTTCCAAAGAAAAGTGCCCGTACACAAATAAAGCTGTTTCAGTGAAATAAAATAATGGGGACATTGACCGAACGAGATTCTACTAATCTTCAACTAATTTCTTTCAATGATTGTGCCTATAAAAAAAATTCTTGTCATGAGTAAATTAACGTTTATACGCATGGTGCGCGCTGAATTGAAAGCAAGTGCGATTTAGAGCGTCCCTTGGCAAAAAATTCACGAGTTACAAATATTTCAATTGTTTCAAGAATATATATTTTTCCCCGTGAATGACTGTGAAGTTTTTGAAAAATTTGTCACTGCTAATTTTTTAGATGAACGTAAAGTTTCCAAAGAAGTTAATTTAGGCGGTCTCTGACAGACAAAACCATTTCACAACAAGTATTAAAATGTTAAAGAGTCAGTGGAAAATTAACAAGCAAATTTAAATTCAAGTTTTAATATAATTATACAATAAATCTCAATAGCGATTATATCAGGCGGTCTATTGCATGGGGCCTCTTACTGTATCTACTATAAAAAATTGAACTGAAACGGCATGAATATATCTCTGGTTAAAGAAACATCGAGTTTCGAGCGCGAGGTAACGTGGAAACAATATAGGTGTCGCATCTCCTCTCGATAAAATCATTTCATGCACAAGGAGAAAAAGATCAAACATCTATTGCACAATTAAATCAAACTACAAACTAAATTCAGACCTCAATGTGTGATGAAATCGATGATTAAATAGCGAACCCTTAATTGCTTCCGGCGGCAACATCACTTCACTATAAAAGAGTAATTCGATTTGCAAAATATACATCATGAACCTCTCCAGTGACTCGGTGATGACTGGGGGAGGGGAAGGGAATTTATGTATTATTATTTTTAGCATGAAAAATTTCTTTTAAAATCGACTGTCTTTACACTTTGGTAATAAGCATATTCAATTCAAACTCACTATATACAGCATTATTAAACACTTTTAGCGGTCATCAATGAATCTTGCCGAAAAAATAATTTCTCTATTATGTAAATATCGTTGAAAACAGATGTTATTAAATCTGGCCCTACTGGCGCTTGAAAGGTAACGTTGATAGCTCTGCCTATAAAAATCTTTCTCGTTTTGATGTCTTGCTACAACGATTAAAGGCAAGATATTTCTAGGAATAAGTTCCAACTTTAAGCATAAATTTACAATGGTGACAGTTCATTGAATTTATTGATACACTATACGTACGTCTTTTCTTTACAACTTCAATATTTTGATTGTTTTTTTTCTTCTCTGGTATACGTGGCTATTTCTAACCGCAATATTTCCTATGTGAACTAGCCCTGCAGCAAAAAAAAATTGAAGATCCAAAAGAGCATGCGGCTGAATCCCATTTAGAAAAGCGCTTGAATGTAATTTTGTCCAAACGATAAATTAGCGTCTTAAGCGATAATTGTCCATAAATATCGCCGGGAATGCTGAGAGTTCAATATGTGACTGAATTCTCATGCACGAAAGAGGAAGAATATCTGCAGGTGACAAACTTTAAAAATATTTTCAACATATTTCAACCTGTTTCATGCCAAATCAAATGTTTTCCCAATACTTAAGTGAAGAAGAAACTATCTGCCTTGCTGCTGTTATTGTAATATTTGGATTTTTCGGATTGGTGTTAAATATCCTCTTAATCGTGTCAATTTTGCTCACTGACGGCTTATCAGATAATCCAGCGAATCTATTTGTGTTGAGCCTAGCTGTGGCAGATGCCTTGATAGGCTGCGCAATCGCTCCTCTTTCCATCTACACGGTATATCACCCCGCACTTGACGTCTTTTTTACAGTAAGTAACATTTTTATCTTATCGACATCCGGAAGTATTTTCCTTTTGACATTGAACCGTTCAATCTCAACAATAAAACCTCTAAAGTATCCAAGAATTGTTACCTACGGTCGAGCTAGAGCTATGGTCATCGTTATATGGTTGGTCGCCATCATTGTGCTTGTCTTGGATATAGTGAGCTTGTTCTCAAAGCGATTGATACCCGATTTAAAAATAACTCGGTTTATCATTGCATTTTACATTGTGTCATCCATTGTATTGAGCGTGTACATGTACGATTTGGGCAGGAAACACGGCAAACGCATTGCTCAACAGGCATTTGCTGTCACCGGTCAACTGCAGGAGGCCTCACATGAGTTTAGAACGCTACGTTCGTTGTTTATGATCGCTGGAAGTTTTGGGGCATGTTGGTTGCCAGCAACAATTGTAACTATAATTATCGACAGAGAAAAAGATCCTGTTGTGTTTTATCGCGCATTTTGTCTTACTGCACCCTTGATATTTTTAAACACAATTATCGATCCTGTCGTGTATTATTTTCGAAGTAAAGGCTTCCGCTCGTCAATGAGAAGTTTAAAGAGGCAGCTTAGGAATTATGGATATTGCGATTGTTGCTAAAGGCCATGTTAAACGGTGCAATTTTTCTTGCATCTTGCAATGCAAGTCTACTTTTAAGAGATTTAAATTAGTGAAGAGTCATGGAGTGTAATAAAGACAAAAGTTTGATAGTTTCCAAATTTATATCTCTGAAAAGAAGAATTACATCGCATGTTGCAGCAAAAATTTCACCGTGTAACAGGGCCTTAACATGCAACATTCGCAACAGAATCATGACGAGGAATACGACGTCAGTGGAGGTAAAGGATATAAGGACTATAAAATAACTTTACGAAATTTGCGAAAGTTGACGGCTAAGGCTACGCGCACACGAGCGTCGTTTTCGAGCGTTTTCAAAAAATTGCTTTGTTTTTTTCTGCTTAGATCCCCTGCCCACACGATCTAAGGGAAAATATGCCTAATATGTAAAATTCGCTTCAACTTTTATAGTAAAGTGGCAATGTTTGAGACCTCTTTGGCATGAAAACGAATGTGAAAACGCTCGGAAACGTCACCGTGTGCACATATTA